TGGTCCATTCTGTATGCGATTTGCACTTCTTCTCACCAATGGCTAGAAACGGCTGCATTTTCAACTTTGGGGAAAGGCAGAAGTCCGTACAAGCTAGATCTGGCTATCTGAGCGGATGCATAAATGATAACATATTATGAAGGTTAGAAATACACGAATAGCGAATGCACTGACACCAAGGGACGGATTCGCTGCAAATATCTTTTTTTAAACATTTGTATTCAACTTGACCTTGTTTGTAAAAATGGAATTTTGTAATTGATTTTTCACTTGCTTCCTCATGTGCTTAGAATTTTGAAAATTTTGCAGTTGTGTATTCTCGATCACAATACCCCATTTTAATATTTTCAGAACTTAATTTTCAATTTATCAGTTAATTAAACCTGTAATTCCTATTTTAAAAGAAATCTTTGAATCGGTATTCATGAATAAATATAGTAACTTAATTAGTAGAAACAAAATCGGTCATCTTCTTTTGGCATCAAGAACTAAACTTGCTCGACGATGCGAATCGCAACTAGCTCTTTCCGTACTCTTTCAGAGAGTACCCAGAGTCAATACTCTACTGCATTTGGTGTATCAATAATATTTTATCGTATTTTCCGGATAATCCGAATTTCCCGAAATCCTGACACAGGTCATTTAATTCAGATTAACGAGGTTCTATTGTATTTTTCACTATTGTGCGCCACTTGAGTGTAATGGAGCGGTATCGCCGAGGGAAAAGAACTGCATTGTTAAATTATTTCTACTAACCACTATTAACGTCCCGTTTTGAAGGGATGTCCCACGGTTCATTTGGGACTGACTTTATCATCGCTCGTTTGAATCGTGATCAGATGACAAGGATAGAATTGTGTAAATGTGATTTATCATCATAAGTGCAAAAGATGCCAATAGCACGTGGTATTTCCATGGCCACCCTCCCAAGTTCTGACCGCACCCGACGCTGCTCAACTGCGGTGATCAGACGAGAACCTATGCTTTCAGCATGGTATGGCCGTTGGCAGATGACAAGGAAAACACCCAAGTTACCTCCTTCAAAGTGTGGGCAAGATTACATGCTTCACCAGCGGACCGTTGTTTCCATTAACACTCTTTCGGCACCATGGCCTGTGGCGTAACAAGAGTAAGCGGCGTCTTAAAAATACGATTATTTTGTATCCCAATCATCATCAGTGGCTGAACAAGAGTAAGCGGCGTCTTAAAAATATGATTATTTTGTATCCCAATCATCATCAGTG